GGTGTTTTTTGTTTCCTCATGTTCCAAATTGCTGATTTGATTCTCAGTGTCCTCTACTCTACTGTTGATTCCCTGTAAATTATTCTTCATTTCAGTTCGTGTAGCCTTCATTTCAAATTAGCACTTTATTATGTCATTGATTTTCTCAGTTATTTTCGTAATAATATGCTTGAGCATCCTCATAAACAAATTCTGAATTCTGTATCTGTTAGCTTGCTTGGATCTATTTCATTTAGTTCCTCTTCTAGAGATTTCTTCTGTTCTTCCCTTTGTGACATGTTTCTTTGCCTCCACATTTTGGCTGCTTCCAGGTGTTTGTTTCTGTGTATTAGGTAGAGCTGCTATGTCTCCTGGAATTTGTAGAGTGGCTTTGTGTAGTAGGTGTTTTGTAGGGTCCAGTGGCTCAGCCTCCCAGTCACCTGAGCTGGGCCTTCTAGGTGCTCCCCCTGTCTCTTATACACATCTNCCAGGCCAATCAGCTGTAAGGACCAGCTGCAACTACAGCCAAAGAGCTGCTGTGCTGGAGACACCCCTATGGAGCAGGATTTACTTCAGTGGAGCTTTGGTGTTCACCAAGTGTGCCCCTTGAGTGTGTCACTCGTGGATGTGGTCGGGTTGTAATCTAGAATGGTCGAGTCTGACCACCATGTGCACTGTCTCTGGGGCCTTCTGGGAGGTGCAAAGTCAGCCTCTGCCAGTGCCTTGCCCAGGGCCACCCAGCATGAGCTACACAGCAAACTGTAGTTGGCTGCTACTTGTGCTGGGCTTGGTGGTGTCCAGGACAGGCCAAGCTATGAGCCAATGCAGGCTGTCGCTAGTGCCAGGTCTGGGGCCACTTATCAAGCTGTATGGGGCATGATGCTGCTTGTTTGAGAGATTTTAGAAAAGTCCTAAGCATGGGGCTCGAGAGGCCACTTGCACAGAAAAACCCCTGGAAATGGCCTGGATGAGCTGCAGGTGGGGAGGGGCGGGGCCTCCGGGAATCACGGGGCGGGGCCAAAGGNGCAGGTGGGGAGGGGCGGGGCCTCCAGGAATCACGGGGCGGGGCCAAAGGTGGGAGTCAGGCGCGGGCGACTCAAATATGGCACCTGCCTGCCGGCTGTGTGCGGGGAGGACTGGCCAAAGGAGCCATGGCCTCTGCCACCTCTTCTGCCTGGGAGGAAGCTGCCCCTTCACCTCTCACCCCAACTTGAGGCAGGTTAGTTCCTCCCCAAGTGTCCCAGGTTCCTTTCAAGCTCCTGTCGGTGCTGGGGCTCCAAGGGAGCTCGTCTGAGTCCGTGCGCGGGCCCTTTAAGAGGAAAGCCTGGGACTCCGGCAGCCTCCGTGTCCCTCAGCGACAGTCTCCGCTGGTTTTCACAGCCCAAAGCTGTGGGGATGTCTCTTCCCAGCCCTGGAGCCCTGGGCTGGGGGCCCAACGTGGGGCTGGGACCCCTCCCTCCTCCGGGAAACCCCCACCACCAAGATATCCCTCCCGGGTTTAAACCGCGGCACCGGGTGTGGGCCCGCGGCCGCGTCTCCAGGATTCAGCCCCGATCCGCCCACGTCTCCGCCTCTCCTACCTGTCTTGATGCTTCTTTAGTTCCCTGGTTGTGGGGCTTCTGTGCAGCCAGATTTCAGGAGGCTGAGTGATGGTTGTTCTGTATTTTAGTTGTAATTTTGATGTGGTTGCGGAAGACGGCGGGTGCAGCTGTTACCTGCGCCGCCATCTTGTTTCCTCTCATTTTAATCATTTTTAAATTACTGTTCGTTGGCATTAAGTCCATTCACAGTGTCGTATAATTATCACCACCATCCATCTCCATCCAGAGTTTATTTTTCCAAACTGAAACTCTGTACCCATTAAACACTAAATTTCCATGCCCTCCTCCAATATCCCCCCAAACACCATTCTACTTTCTGTCTCTATGAACTTGACTACTCTAAGTACTTATATAATTGTAATCAAACAATATTTGTCCCTTTATGATTGGCTTATTTTCTTAGCATATGTCTTCAAGATTTATCCATATTGTATTGCAGCATGTGTCCAAATGCCTTTCCTTTTCAAGACTGAATAATATTCCATTGTGTGTATACGCTGCATTGTTTATGCATTCATCTGTTGATGGACACCAGAACCTTTTTCACATTTGGGCTATTGTGAAGAATGCTGCTCTAAACATGGGTGTTCAAATATCTTTTAGTCCCTAATTTCACTTCTTTTGGGTTATATACTCAGAAGTGGAATTGCTGGATCACATAGTAATTCTATGTTTGATTTTTCTTTTTAATGTTTTTATTGATTTTTTTTAGAGAGAGAGGGTGGGGTAGGGAGAGAGAGAGAAACATCGATGTGAGAGAGAAACATCGGTCAGTTTCATTCCAAACTGGGACCAAACCCGCAACCTGGGCATGTGCTTGACCAGGAATTGAACCGGCAACCTTTCACTTCACAGGACGACACTCAACCAACTGAGCCACACTGGCCAGGGCTGTTAAGTTTTTTGAGAAATTACCATACTGTTTGTTTTCCATGGTGGCCACACCATTTTACATGTCCACCAACAGTGCGCAAGGGTCCCAGTTTCTCCACATCCTCACCAGCGCTGGTTATTTTTCAGGGTTTGTTTGCTGTTTGTTTTTATAACAGCCATCCTAGTGGGCGTTGAGACGTTATTCATCGTGGTTTCACTAAACCCGGTTTTGAGCCTCTGCATTCGCTGTCTTGATCCCCCATAATAAACCCAACCTAATTATACAGCATGACCTCTATTTCTTCCTCGTAAGACTGAGCCTGCTTCCTGGGAAAGGCTGAGCCACAGAGGGAGGCCTGAAAGGTAACTGGGCCTGTAGCCTCTTACACTTCTTCACGCAGGTCAGCAGGGGGCACTCCCACAAGACCACCATGGAGGTCCAGTTGACAGATGACAGGCCAAAACAGGGCCACAGATCAACAGCAAAGGCATCTTTTTTGTTCTCTGACACTCCCACCCTCACCCCTACCTCCTGTCCTCCTCACAGTGTCAGCATCAAGGAGAACCAAGCAGTCCAGGCCATAGCAGTGTTTCTCAAAGAGGGTGCTACTGGCATTCGAAGTAGGACAATTCTTCATTATGCAGGACAGTCCTACATACCACAGAACATTCAGCATTCCAGGCCCCTGCTTGCTAAATGCCTATAGTGGCCTCCAGCCATTGTGACAACCCAATGCCCCCCACCTATATCTCCCAAGTACCCTCACCCTGGAGATGGGATTCACCCAGGTGAGAACCAGGTATGCAAAGGAATCTGGAGATTCCCAGTATCTCACACTCGCTCTTGCAAAGCAACAACTACCATAAAGGGCCTCATGTCCAGTGTAAGAGATGCTGGAGCTCAGCCAAGGAAAATGTCACAGGTCTCTTTAGGTGACCTTGATGACTTCTCTGAATCTATTAATGGTGAGTTGACAGTGAAAGGCTCTCGTATCAGGAGAAGGCTCTCAAAGCAAGATGGGTACTGTTATATCAGAAAAAATATCTCATCATGGCCTCTCTCACCCCCCACAGTCAGGACTTGAAATCTGAGCCCAGTCTCTTCAAGGTCCATTTGACCCTCTGTCTCCCTGTGTGTGAACACTGCCCTCAGCAGTCTCCGCCTTGCCTGGGCTGGTTTAAGGGACTGCACTTCCCTGTGCTGCCATAGCAACCGGGAAACAACCTGGCTACAGTGAGAAAGATGGTGTTGTCGCCCAGATCTGTAGGTGCACGAGGCTGGTAACAGAGCAACAGGACCAGGGAACAACAAGGGCCCAGGCAAAGGAGAGAGAGAGGTTGCCCGGAGAGTACACAATCCAGGGCTTGAGGAGTTTGGGTTTGTGGTTTATTTTTTCTCCCGACAAAGACACACACTGTCTAAACTGTGTGGCTGGTTGTTACTAAGAAGCTGCTGTATGTGGGGAAAATGTATTTAATAAAAGGCCCAGTGTTTGTGGTCTTCTTGGGCTCCCTGCTGAGCTCAGGAAATCTTGAGGTGTGACCAGTTTTCAGCCTTCAAAACCAAGATGAACTGCCCCTGAGAAGGGTGGTCAGAGGGAAAACATGTTCACGCTCTCTCCCCTGAGCCGGGGACATGGCAAGTTGGTCCAGAGCAAACAGAAGTTCCAAGTCTGTTTTGAACCAGAGGTGAGTTTTACAGCTGAATAAAGGCATATG